TGCTCTTTTCTTTACACAAAGAGCACCGACTTTCTAAAAGTCTCATAGGGGTCATTATTATTATTATTATTATTATTATTATTATTATTATTATTATTATTATTATTATTATTATTATTATTATTATTATAATTTTTGTCTATTTTGATTTCTGTTTTCTCCTCGTTTCTGGACTAGCTGTGATATCAATGTCTTTTTTGCAAGCAACAAGAATCGCAGGCAGCTTTCGTTTTTTCCTCTCCTTCAGTCTAAAGCAAAAGCTGAACAGACTTTACCTCCAAGTTTCAATAACTTCACATAGGAATAAAACCCCAAGTTGCGAGTGAGAATGCGTTGGAATTATGCATCCACATCTGAGGATTTAATTAACGCGATAAAAACAAGAACAAGACAATATATTTGCTGTTTGAAATCCCAAAAAACAAGCTGTTTATGAAACACACTGCGGGATAAAAAGACAAAATGCGAGAAAACAGGAAAAAAACAAAAAGAAACATTTACCTTGTGGTTCTGGTAGGATGTCACCGCGATGAAGGCTGTCTCAGGGAAAACGTGAGTACAGAAAGCAGTGTTTTTGGAGCCAAAGCCGTTATTTTCATCTGCTTTAACAATATGAATCCTGGGCTGGTATTTGTGCATCGAATTCAGGATAATCTGGAATGAAGACAGGCTTGCATTAGGCTCTACTTTGCATGCCAACATATATCAGAGGAAAAGTAATATTTCTGAAAACAACAATGGCAAAAAAAAACCGAACTAATAAAATGAATAAAAGTGAAATCATGTCTTTGATAATAATTACAGAGGCGAAAAGATTTCATAAGCTATTCCCTTTATAAGCCTGTTTAATCATTTTATCATTGTCATACCAATCATATTTACCAATGTCTGGTATAGAGGCGAACATTTCAAATGTAATGTTACCCAATAAATTAATGTATTTCTGGTCTCAATATAAAGAAATTGAAAGAATGTAATATAATATATTAAGATTGATTGGAAACGAAAAAAAAAATGAGGGGTTTGAAAACCAAAATTATTGAAATAATATCTGGAAAATACTTTTTCAAAGAGGAATTTAATTAAATTTAGAAGGCCAACATTTTTTTATTATTATAATGTTTTATTTAGAGTTTTTCTTTTTCTTAAATGTTAAGTACGATTGGATAACATATTTTGCATCATTAATATAGACTGTGTATATGTTTCTTTACTGGTTTTATTGCTATTTTCAAACATTGATAATGTTTTTTCAGCACATTGATTGTATGGACGTGATCCATGGATTGGTTGATGGATTTGCTCCATATTACTTTGAATATTGCTGTGATATTATATCTTTAATATCCTCCCTCTTTTTCACCAATTATTGAATTAGAATGGAACTTACAGCTGAACTTGAGTATTGAACTTCTACTTTGAAAACCTATCATCCAGGGAACTATTGGTTACATGTTATCACTGACCGGAGCTTTCACAATCAGTCTTGAAGAAAATAGAATCCATTACATACATCTGATCAAATTGCATCTGATTTAAATATAAAAAAGATGGCCTCCCCCTTACTTTCCTCTTTATTCATCTCTTTCTGTATCTAACAACCCCCACCATCCAGTGACCTGCAGGCATGTCACCCTATCTCTTATCTTTAAGACTGTTTTTGTACCTGCCTTTCACAGCCAGCATGAGAGGAGACAAGGGTCTGCCCTGACCTCTAGTACCAGAGAAGGCATCCTGCGGCATTCCACAAAGAAAATCCCCTTTAAACCAGAAAAGGGCTTTTATTGTTGACAGTTGTTCATTAGATACTCCCAGTTCAATTTTGTCACATATTTGGGTTCAATCTATTTTAGAAGAAATTGTCAAACACCTCGTAGAAACTGTAATGCAAATTACTTTTACCCTGAGTGTTCTGAGTTAGAGCAATAAATCATCATTACAGTGTCAGTAATTAGGTGCAGGACTCTGCATTGTTAAAACGGGAACAATCAGTTTTCTTTTAATGACGAATCAATGACCAAACTGCATCTAACTTTCCAAGGACTGAGAAAGAAACTTTGTAGAAGGCTTATATGCAGTCATAACACACTGATTTCTTCATTTAAAGTTGAAAATCACTACCCACACATATTACAAGTCACGTCTCAATTCCCATGGAGAGAGCTGTGGCAGTAAGGGTGTATTTGCAAGGAGACCACCCACTGGGACCCCAGCTCAGGAGTAGTCTCTGTGGCCTACGCTCACTGCACTGGTTCTTGTTCTTCACCCCCTTCTCAGCCTCTGGATGATACTATTTAATGATAGTGAGGGATCACTTTGGGTCTCATGCGGCTGCCCTTCGCTTTCAAGTATCTCAACATCAGAGAGTTACTGCACACCCACCCCCACCCGAGGGAATCAATGGGCTTTGTACACCAGCATCTATTGCTCATCACACACTGCCATTCAAACATAAACAGTGCGGTCCTCACACTCCACCCTGTTGGCCCAAACATGTGTGGGAAGGCAGGGAGGCGAGCTCAGGAGATTAATAACGCCGTGAGGTATTCTGGGAGCCGAGATGAAGATCAAAGGAGGAAAAAAGTTGTGCTTGGTATGAAACTTTAGACAAAAAAAAAAGATATTTATAAATTCAAACACTGAAATAGAAACAGTTTGGGAATTTGCTTCTATTGCGGAGCAACTGCAGAGCAGTGGTTTATGTTGCTCCACATTGGGTTTAACTGTTTCTTTGATTTACAAGGTAGGATAAATAACAAGGAATAACATCTCTAAATAAAATTCCTTTTGAAATGATGCAGAAACTGAGTGGATTAATCAATTATTTTTATTTATTTAGCAGAGGTTGACTGAGGTAAATCAATGCAGAAGTATATTATCTATTCTAAAGAACATTTTAAAACTGAAAATATCTCTGGAATTAACAGACCAGCCAAAACAAATAGCACCAAAGTATGTGAGTAATATGTACTCTTTTGTTCAGTTTTTAGATTAATCGATTTCTGAGGAGAGCAAAGCATAGATACATTTCTCTTATTAGAGACCTAAGAATAATGCAATCATGAAGAAACAATGACAACATGCCTCGGTTTATCGATTTTGAATTTCACACAATCTGCATCATCTGCAAAGATGTCTAAATATCATATCATTTACCTACAAAACAATTATGTAAAATTAAAATTCTATTCAAAGTTTTAAGAAAGCAAAGAGGAAATCTTCATGCAACTCAATTCCATGTTGCACCATCAGAATCAGACCTTCTTTGTTCCAAGGAGCTCCCTAAGTTCACTTAAAGTTATCTAATTTAAGAAACATTTCCATAAAGAGGGGAGAAAAAATCCTAAGTTTCAAGCCTGAACAGGTCTGGACTGATCTATACATTGGCTATATATTGGCCTCATCCATCCCTGCAAGAGAAAATAAATCATCGCTAAGTTATTTCAACCAGCTGGACCAACAAACCGATGGAGCATGCATTTTCTGGCCAGCCACCAGCATTTCACTGATGAGACCCACAGTACTGAGAAAGTGGGTGAGTCAGGAACCACTGTGACCAATCATGAAACACACTTTAACCTAAAATTGTGCAATATGGCTCAGTGAGCTGCAGTTTAAGTTCTCCAGCTGGGAATTGGCAGGGTAAGAAATCTCTGTAGGTACCATGTGGATAGACACTGGCTCATGATTTGTTTTGGTAACCGAAAAGACTGGAGCAATCTCCACTTGCGAACACATCCAAACATGAGACAATAGGACCTGTTAGCAGTTAAAATCCGTTTGAGCAGCAGAACCTATTATTGTTTGTAATTATTGTATCTGTTAATCACAAATTTAAGCAACATAAAATAAAACACAAAACCTCTTAATTTTGATTTGAACTATTTTAAACTTTTAATAAGCGTATTTAGTCTTCTGTTCCTTGAACGGTGATATATCTTTTTTTTTTTTTTTTTTTACAACCTTTTAATTACTTTCACCTTGTTAGCACAGTCTGTTCCTGACAAAAATGTTTATAATTAACTGAGTATTTCCAACAAGAGAGCTAATTAGGCCTTAGTGTACCCATCAAGTCAACATTGCATGAAAGCCTGCTGCTCATTGCACACTTTGTTCATGAAGTCAATAGTGTGTTTTTTGGTTTTGTTTGTAAGGGGATGAATGAATAAATCGTAGCCATATTTAACCCATAATGTTTTTTGTTTTTTTGTTTTTACAAAAAAGCACAAGTATAATATATAACCACTAAATGGCTTTCAGAGACTTTCAATTTTTTTGGCATTTTAATCAGTTGTGTAAAACATACACTTTTTAGAACACACAAACAAACAATATTGCTATATTAAAACATATTCAAAATATTTGAATTATGGAACAAAATAACTGATGGGTCATCATTTTAAATGTGCAAATATAGTCAAATGTGTAATAATATGAGCTGAAAGGTCATCATTAAAAAATGGAACACCAGCTTAAGACCCCTACCGCCCCTGGACAAAAGTATATGTTTGGATACACTTGTAAAAATTATTAAACTTTAAGATGTCCTTAAATTAACAGAAATTTTTCAAAGAAATGTTCTGTTTGTCTCTACTTAAAATTGTACCTTGAATAATATCTTCTTTTCTTTCATTTTTTTTTTAGACCTAATACGTTTAAATACGTTTTAAGAGACCGTTTAACAAACTGACGGATAAAAATGTTTTTTTTCTAATGTTCTGGGATTTTTCAATAACACAAAATAAATAAATTAAAATAATAATAATAATAATAAAAAAACAACTTAATTGCTTATTTCATATTTACTTAACTGAAAAACACAGAAATTTAAGTATGAGGTCTACGAATAATAAACAGGATCACTTTTGCATGATTGCTTTCATTTTGACACAATAATCTAATTCATAATGCCCCAGAAAAAGCAACAAGATAAAAAAGTGTGTAATAACATAAACAGTGTTTCTAGTATTTTAAGTAACACTAAAAATAAATGTATTAAGAAGTTCTTTTTATTATAAAATCAGTGAAATTCTGCATAACTGTGGTCTAATATTAAATGTACTCTTTGTGGAATATCTATTTTCTAAGTATAAAACAACAAATGCTAAAAACCTATATTTTATTTGTCGACTTACGCATAGTAAAACACAAAGCGTTTAAAAACTGCGCGTGTGACCCACAATAACACTTAAAATCTTCTCTTACCAAGCAAAACGTCTGATTTTACACCAGTTCATATAAAACCTCTTGGTTCCAAATAAGTCATGCTCTAAGCAGCAGTCGTGGAAAGTTTCCCGGTAACAACACCGAAGCTCAAAAGCCGCATCCAGCGCATAAAAGCTTCTCTCTTTTATTCCACGTTCAGCTTGAACAGAATGATATAGGCAGGCACCTACGTGTCCGAACGGGTCCAAGTGGTTGTTGGTGAGCTTCAGCTTCTGGAAGGACACCAGCTGCCTCATCCAGTGCGCTCCTGTGGCTGGGGAGTCCGGATGGACGTAGAGCCTCCCTGGCATAGCGGGCTCTGCCTTCCCGGTCACAGACCTGGCACAGGGGGACAACAACAGGCGCGACGCATTAAGCGAGCATCTAAACAGGAGATGGGACCTAATGGACTGGAAAAGGTGATAAAAGGATTTCTAGGTTTCAGAGAGAGCCATATTAATTTGAAACACTTAAAATATAATTTTGGGATTTAAAGTTAAGATCTAAACTGAACTGTTTTTGCATTAGTGCGCACAATTTGGCATGACATTCTGCACTTATATAAATGAAGTGACCCCATTTACTCTACAATGTATAGACATATGTCTCAATTAGTTCTACATATTGTTTTACTCGGCTCATTATCTGCAGTATTGGCATGTGATTATCCGCTCAAAGCCCCCACTCCTTTAAAAGCATTGACCCAAACAAAGCGCTGCTGCCTTCAGGGTCGAAGATCAACCAGGGTAAAAAACAAACAGAATTTATCCAAAGGATAAAAGAGGAGGGCTGTCTCGTTTCAGGCCACTGCAATTGTAGGAAAAAACCCATTAGTATGAATCCATCGCCAGAAGAAATCCAACAGAAACATGTCTCCCCCGTGCTGACTGTAATTCTTGGCAACAATTAGAAAACAGGCAGATCATAATTCAGCAGGAAATTATATGTTCGCTTCCGATTCTCGTCCATCAGGGCAACATAAAAATTTCCTGCTGGAGTCAACTCTAACTAGTATAAGATGGGAAACTCTCCCCTTTGTCTATATATATATATATATATATATATATATATATATATATATATATATATATATATATATATANTATATATATATATATATATATATATATATATATATATATATATATATATATATATATATATATATATATATATTTTGTTACTCACCATTTATTGTCGGCAAATTTGTATCGATGATCATCCGCTGGAACTACGTCCATTAGGAGAATATACTTCGTTTTGGGGTTTAATCCGGTCACTTTCACTTTGAAGCTGGGGAACATTCTCCTGTGGAGAACAAACATTGGCATTTCTACAAAAACGTGCATAGAACATGCAAACAATTGTCAAAGCAGAGAAAACAAAACAAAAAAACCCCTCTAGGATTCTACTTGAATGAACAAAACCACAACTTTTACAATGTATATAAAACAAGAGTACACAGACAGAGTTTAGTTTTCCATGAGTGGACTTGCAATTATAACACATACATAACCCTGCATAGGAGCAGCTGAATTATATGAAAGCCCCTATTTAGCTTGGATAGGAAACTGGTAGTTTTTTTTTTAAGAATCTGTGAGTTGCATCTGGAAAAAAAATTCACTGTACATGCATTTCTATGTTTTAAGTTATGAGATATGGAGTAGGTTTATCTGCCATACTAAAAAAAGGCAGATCCACACTGAAAATACACTTGTAGAGTTTAAGCATTGTTATTGAAAATTGTATTTAAACAAGTTTGAATTAAGGTTTCTTAAATTATATAGGCCTAAATGAAACAATTAAAAGACACTGAACACTGTAAGCAGTTTGTGTTGTTATAATGACAAAACCATGAACTCAACAAAGAATAAGTTTTAATTAACAAAGCTGCAAAATCCGTCTTGAGATGAAATAGACTGATGGTATTTTTATGGCTTGACAATCATTTAGCTAAGAATACATTTTCCCCATTGAATGCCCTATGTAATACGTATATGATGAATTAAAGCACTTATAGAGCACTATTTTGTCACGCACTATTTTGTCAACTATGGGTCTATAAATGACTTACAACTGGGCAAAAGTAGCCACTGAGATATAATTTTCACAACAGAGATTATTCAGGGATGTTAACATTTCCCATCAGTCTTCTTCAAATTAGTTGAATTCTAAAAGATGTTGAGATCACTTTTTCCAATTATTGAAATGTATTCAGTTTTACACAAAATTTTAGTCATAAAGATCATATTAACAGAATGGATGTAACATTTTTGAGTCAGAATTGTCTTCACCAACTTGCATCAGAAACCTTCAAGCTCCTCAATGGTTTCAAATCTGTTGCTATGATGCCCACAAACAAGGTTATGGAGGCAGAGGATCCCCTACAACAGACACCTCTGTTGGTCCCCTTAGGCATATAAGGGGTTCATGCCGATCAACCGTTGCTGTTTACGGTTGGCCTCCACTTTCAAAAACAATCTCAAAATAATGTTTTTGCACTAACACTTTAAATATTAAAAATGAGGGGAAGCTTTTCTGAGCATATTCTGGGAAGGTGGCACCTTAAATGTTTTTTTTTTCTTTTTCTGGCAACATGTAGGCCTACCTCAGTCTAAGTCATCTGGCAAGTTTGACTTGAGCGTTCATTACAAAAATGATCTACAAATTTCTTAAATTAAGTGTATTTACCCTTAATTTGAGCAGGTAAATAAGATAATCTGCCAATGGACTGAGCATTTTTTTCTCTGAAAATAAGCAGAAAATAAGATAATCAGATATTATGCACTTGAAATAAGAGGCTACAGTTGTTTTTTTCTTATTTTAAATGTAAATTGCCCTATTCCATTGGCAAAGTGTATCACTCAACTGCTTGATTCAAGAAAAAAATGCTTTTATTTTAAGAATAATAAACGTTCTTAGATTTCAATTTTTTGCAGTGTTTGCACTATTACTAAACTAGTTAAAACCAGATTTAAACTTTACAAAGGTGACACATAAAGTAAGATTTGCCATACATTAGTAATATATCCTACAGGGTAAAAATCTTACCAACAAGTTTGAATGTAGTATTAGTACCACAAGTATGCAGGACATGGAGTTCTATTCTTACTCCAATCTCCAAACCACAATTGTTATAATTGATACAGAATCATATTAAATCTAACTAATTTTTAATATTAGCTGGTATACATCACACATGATAATAAGGGTTCACCAAACATGAATCTTGAAATTAACATGCAAAGTTAATTTTCTATAAAAGATTTCTGAATGTTTTTTTTTTTAATGAAAAAAGTAGCTAAAAAGTATATTTAGGCCCACATGTTGGTTTACATTTTTTTCCCCCCAGCAAATATCTTATTGTGCTGCACATTTAATGTGGCGTTATTTTATTCATCTAATTACTTCTATGTTTGAATCATTGCTTGTTTTACAGTGCAGAGCGCACTTTACGTAAATATCGAATAAGTGCTGAGTGGTTTAAAGGGAAGGCTGTGATGTGCAGATCATTATAATTACAATCCTCTTGATTGGAAATATAATAATGTCAACAGCTAAAGTTGAATATACCCCAGAATTATTATTATTATTATTTTTAGTGCAGCAAGTCAAGAGCAAAGCCGTGGAAAAGTAAAAAAAGAAAACACATTTTTCCAAATAAAGCAGAGCTTGAATGGCTGACGGGGATGCAATGGGGATTTTCTGCAGCTGTGAGGGGGAAATTGAGACCTGCCTTCACTGTGGTGTAATGCAGCTATAATAAATTATTGATTTGAATCATTTGCAGAACACGTGTGAGTCGCTCTCTGCAGAGGGAGACACCGGCGGGTCTGCATGCGTGTATGTTCACACCACGCCTTGCGAGCTGTTTTGACTGGGATGCAGTGTGAGCCGGACAGCGGCAGACACCCATGCAGCCTCTCCTGCGGATGTCATGGCTTAGCTCAAGATCTGGGACACAGAAAACAAATCTGCAGGCAAAATATATTTCACTCTGTGAGGGGGCGTGTGGTGGGGGGCAACCATCAATAAAACATTTTTGTGAACCAGATGCAGTTTAGAGTATTTGCTGTCTCAGGCTGTTTTTTTAGTGGTATTGCATTCCAGCAGAGAAAAGGCCACCCAGACTAAAATATATGAGTATAGTATTCCTTTTCTTCTTTTTCTTTTCTTTTTTTTCAAACCAAACTTTGCGTCTGCCAGATGTGCTGCTTTGGTTTAATTGGTTCATATTTTCTTATCCCTGAAACCAATATTTCAAAAAACATTAAAAAAAGATGCATGCAAATATGGAACAAAAGCAAAGAGAAGAAGTTAAAAACAATAACATTAAAATGATCTTACCGTCCGGCTTTGGTTATGATCATCTCTGTGCCCACTTCGTGAAACTTCATCCATAGTTCCCTTTCGTGTAGGTAAACTTTTATGCCTTCCATTCCCTTTACAAATGTACAAACACGCATAAACATGATGCATCGATACTAGGTCAGAATAACAGCCACCCCCCAGTGCAAAAAAAAAGAGAAAAAGTTATTAAGCTGAACTAGGACGACGAATTTGATAACAAAAAATTGGTCAAAAAATAAAAACAATAAAAGACGTAGATAGAAAAACGTGTAAATAATTTTCGTGACGTTTTAAATGACTAAACCTTAATTCGGTCGGAGTGTTTATGGGTCAAAAACGTATGAAATTACAGAACTTTTGGAGTCTAAATAAAAAAGAAACGTCTGGTGTTGGCGGGGCCACTTCTGGCACATTACGCGCACCATTCATGCGCGTTTAAAGCTTAATGTACTGGCAAAAGGTTTACTTTAGAAATCCCTCCCTGACAGTAGATTACTGACATGGAAAAGTAAGAGTGTGTTATATTGACAGGTTTTTGGTGGGATCTATTTCATAAAAATTTGTATCGAAAATAGAACTGTCAGCTGCAGATATTGAAAATAAAACCACAAATATAGAGAGCGTGTTTAACCTCTACTTAAAAAAACAAAACAAAAAACGTTTGACAGAATAGGACGATCAAATAACAGTAATAATAAAAAAATCTTTTTTAAATTAGGGAAAATAATATCTGTAAAGCTCTAATATAATGGAAAATGCAGTGATTCATAGAGAACGGTTAGAATACTATGGTTTTAGATTTAAACAAATTGAAACGCTTCAACACAAAAGGCTCTTAAAAAGGAAAAACGGCTCACTCTTCTTAAAGTCTGTAAGGTGTAATTTAAAAGTCGCAAAGTAAGGCACATTTTTTTCAGTACTCAGTATAAAGTTACACCACGAAAGCTAAACTCATGGTGAGAAAAAAAAATTGTATCTAAAAAGTTGCTGACCCAAAGATCCAAATATGTGAAAATGTTAACATGCCGGGAAAACTCTAGTTATTATCGAAGAGTTTCAATATGATAGAAACCAATGGGATTACCACACTGAATAAAATATGTCATAACAAACATACAAAAAAGCAAAAAAACAAAACAGGTGTGAAGCGCTTGAAGCTGTCAGACAGAGGGCCCAAAAACACAAAGAAACGCACTCTGACCTGCTGGATGTATGTTGTCTGCGAAGATGGGGATTTGCTCGATGTTCCGTTCTGTTTCTCTGGTTTGTTGTCGCTTTGTAATTCCCTTGAATCCGAACCAACCGGAGAATTCTGAACTGCAAACGTCTCCTCCTGGTCCGCCATGACCAGAACTTCAGAAAAAAAGTCTACAGACCCAGCTGGAAGACCAATGGAAAACATGTAAGGGTGGGAGGACGCACAGTTCTTTTCTTGAGATGTAAACAGAAGCATCTACATTGATTATCAGGATTATTTTTACTTGTGTAGTTCTTTCTTTTTTTGATGCATTGAAGTAAACAACTGACTTTTGCACATGAGTTACAAACACAACTTTTGGTTTTACGCATGCCATATCTACTCTCTATTTTTATCCAAACGATGCGCACTGAATCTTTCCAAATGTCAGATCTTGGAGATCATAATGCATTTTAATGCTGCAAATTTCCCATACAATCAGAGCATGGATTTGATTGATTTACTCGGTTCACAGCCGGCAGCACAGCTCAAGATGAAATGCATGGATTGCTTAATGTCTACACCTCCAACAGATGGCTACATTCCTCTAATGCAATGCATTGGCTCCAAACAAGATTAAAATGCCCCCCTACCCTGTCTGATCAGAGCAGCGTATGCTTACCTAAAACAAAACAAAAAAAGCCCACGTCTTGATCTAGATGTTGGATGCAGTGGTTTAGAAACGTCCAAACGCTCCAGTCAGATAATCCGGACGCTTTGCGAGACGAGTCTCCCCATGAATGCTCCCCTTCAGTCCTGTTAGACTGTTTAGATTTTATCCAAGCCTGAGTGTTGATCGAAGAAGAACACAACTACGATACGCCGCTCGCGGTCATTTAAAGCGTTTTACAGCTCAGCTCCGTTTTTGTAAGCCGAGTCCGCCGATAGCGTTTTAGCGCAGAGCTGAGCCGAATCCCAATGGAGCAGATCCGACACCTCCTTCTCCTCCCTTCCCTTCCCCTCTCTCTCTGTCTCTCTCTCTCTCTCCTTACTGTCGCTCCTGTCTGTGCGCTCGCTCTGGAACTCTCCACTGCGCATCGGTGACCAAACAGCGCAAAGCGGAAATCTAATCGGAGACGCGCAAGGAACCCTGAGGGAGGAGGAGGAATATAGGAGGGGAGGAGAGAGAGAGAGAGGAGAAGCGTTGGTTTGTGTGACCAAAATCATGATTCCTTCCAGGTCCTCAACCCAGATCTTATTTGTTCACTTTCAACATCAAATTCATGTTTGGCGATCATTTTATTACACAGTAAATAATAAATAAATGGAACATTAGATCAGTTGGAATCAGAGCATCACCTGGAATAGTGCGGATTCAAATAAATGAATCTATGGTTATTAGTTGACTAGTAATAACTTTCAAAGAATGTTTTCTTTTTTTTTTGTAAAAATGAGAATAGTGGCTTTCGAGGGGAAGTAAAGGGAATGACCACCTTTATTTATATATTTTTATTTATATATTTATTTATATATTTTAAGCTTTGACTTAGAAGATTGGAGAAATGTCACTATTAAAAAATATATATACATATATATATATATGCTCCGATGAATCAGATTTTAGGGTTAACTACTGATACATTTGAACAAACCTCATATAATGCAGAACTTTGAGTTGTATATAGTAAGGTTAGGATGTCTGTCACTACAACCACCAAAACTCTATTATTAATATTTTAAACTTAGACTTGCCTTATCTTAAGTTGTAAAAAGTTAGTATTAGCTGTTTATTTTTTTTATGAATTCCATAACTGCTTTATTTTATAGATGATTTGATTATAAATTAGAAACGGTTGACATGAATTGTCCATTGTTTGTTTTTGTAATAGATATCAATTCAGATAGACAATACCAACCACTTAAAAAATATTAAATTGGGCTTATTTATGGAAATATAAAAATGTTTACATTTTATTTCAAACTCCTTTAAATGTAATCTTGGACACACTGGAAAACGCGTCCGCACAAACACAACATGTTGGCGAAGAACTCACTACTGTTTGCAGCAATCTAATCTCCAATCGCCTTGACCAATGATATAACAATATTTTCATCAGATGAGGAAATCGGGCGACAGTTAACTCATTTTGAGCGAAGTAAAATAAAATCGGTAGTGGTTGGATATGGAGGGAAAATCGAGACAAAACAAGGAATAGATAGAAGTCGATATGTAAAAAGGTTATAAATTAACACCTTTTAATGGGACTATAAGGTTCGATCTGGGAACTAAGAATTAATTGAGATTGCCCAAACAATCTGGGGTGCTAAGTTTTTAATTAAGACCAGTTAAGACATTTGAGTCATTTAGATATACGATTTAAATGCGGCAAAGATAAAACTGCAAAATAAATTAAAAATAAATCAAAGCCTTAAGAAGGCAACGAATACACTGCAAAAAATGTAATCTAAATAAGTATTTTTTCTTCAAATAAGTGCATTTTTTCTTGAATTGAGGTGGTAAGCGAGACACTTTGCCAGTGGAACAAGACAATTTACATTTAAAATAAGAAAAAAAATGCATTGTCTTATTTGAAGTGCATATTATCTTATTATCTTATTTTAAGAGTAAAAATACTCATTCCTTTGGCAAATCATCTTATTTACCTACCCAAATCAAGGCTAAATACACTTAATTTGAGAAATGTTTTACTTATTTCTATATAGTTTTTGCAGTGTATACACACCTATAACACAGTCAGGACAACCCAAATAAAAACCACTGCAACAAAAAATAAATTAATAAAGAAAAAAAAAATCACTCAATGCTTTGCTGTTTTCGGACACGCTGAAGTGGGTTTGTGATTATTGTAAACAATTGATTATTATAAAAAAAACGAGCGGAGGATAAAAATACCAAATGCTTAAAAAACCCCGCAATTCTAAGTTAGTCAATGTTGTAATTGTCTTTTTTTGGAAACTAAAGTCGATAAATAAATGCATTTATGTAAACTATTTTAGATGTTTCAAAAGTGACTTGTTGATATAACAATATCAGCTATATTAAGAAAACATGTAGGACGCAAATATCTTTCCTAAAATAGTAATTTGGAATATTAAACTTTCAGATTTTTTTTCTTTAAAAATCAACTTCATCCCCAACACTCTGACATTCCAAACGACAAACATTCTAAGTTTGAAATCAATTAACACTACGATGAAAAATAAAAAAATAAAAAACAAAAGCATAAAAATGGGGGCTTCAAGATGTGACGCTGTGTTTTATTGGGTGAGTATAAAATTAGATATTGTATGCAGGGTGTATAGGGTTAAATAATTAACCCATATTATATATATATATATTATCAAACTGAAGTCACAGAAATCTGAGTTAATATTTCTATTATGAGCGGATGTATTTCAGTGAAAACGTCCACATAGAAAGAAAATCGTATGCAGTTTGCCGAACCCACTGAATTAAGGAGCATTTACTGCATTACTCCACGACAGCTGTTCTGTTGTGTTTTCGGGTAAATAATAAATTTGCAGCATTAAAAATAATCTTTGACATTCTGTTGACTTTGCATAATATAAAGGTTGAAAAAACGCTTAAGTAAGACTAAAGAAGCAAACATCTACTAATCTAATCGCATGCCAAAAACAAATTTAAACAAAAATGTTAAAAACTTCAATCCAAACTTGTATTTTTGTCTATCCGCATCCAGAATCATTTTCCCTCCTCTCCTACCTCCGATTGACTGTTTGATCTGATGCTTCCTCTGGAAGTGTGAATCTGAGCGTAGCAGCAGGTGAGAAGGACTGGTGCGGCTAACCACCAGCGCAGCCAGGACCTCTGAGTCAGTGTGCCCAGATGGGCTGCATCCACAAACCAAACTGTGAGACTTGTGGAGGAGGAAAAAAAAGAGCAGCCACAGTTTGGCACACAGGATCTACGCAAGGGGGTGAGACGAGAAGGGCATCTTGCTGGAGAACAATTGCAGATTGGAAAAGTTAGTCATTTTGATGAGAAAACATATATTGGGATATAACTCAGGTGGTCGCATTGTGGCATTCAACTGCTGAGTTGTTTTATATGAACATTGGGTCCTTTTGCTGTTTTGAATACCCACAGTTGCTAAAATTCCAGTGACAAATATGGTGAATAATCGAAATAATTTCACAACATTTCAATAGGAAATATGACTTCTCTGTTGTGAACAAGTCATCTATGAATATATTATTAAATCACAAAGTAATCCCAACTTTTTTTGGAGGGAAAGATGCCCAATGCGCAAATGTCTGCGCAAAAGAAAGCCACCAATGTACTGTTGGCTTACATAGCTGTTTTTTGTATAACTGCAAAGTAAAACGGCGGTTTTTGTGATTATGCGTAAGATCAACCACCCATATCCTCTCTTACTCAGATTTCCTTTCTTTTACTCATCAAACTGGGTAGATTTGTTGAAAATTGTCCTAATAATGCCTTGTTTCACCCCCCAAACCCACCCATGGGTCTGCAACCTGACATCCTTCTCTTCCCTTTTTGGCCGCCTCATTATCCTCTCAGCTCCCTGCTTCATACCCACACCCGACCTCGTGAATGAGTTTACCCTTGTTCCACTAGTGGTCACCAAGATAAGATATGCGGGCCTTCCATGGCAACGCAATTAGACAACTATTGTTGTGCGCAAACGCGTGCGCACCATCACGCATATTCGCCCAGAGAGCTCCCACTTGGTGTGAAAGGCTGGTGGCTCAGAGCAGAGGTGGTGGTGGCACGGTGGTAGTGAGCTTTGAGGCTGACACATTTCTGCTAACAATCACATCACACAGGGAGCCACATTCCTACTTCCTGGTCGCCCTCCCTGCCTCCAATCCACAGGTCCTGGCCCGACTGTATACAGAATTAAGAGAAGAAATTTTAAGAAGAATAAAAAGATATAAAATACATCACAAAGGGCAAGCCTTAATAAACTCAAGTAGATTTTTAATAATAGCTAACTGATCATAAAACCAAAATTAAGAACAGTGTAGATTAAAACGTAATTCGCATTTGGATGTGGTTCACTTTGACGTAAATGAAGTGAGTGTCACTGCATGATGTCATGTACTCTGCCGCCATCTAGTGTTCACCTATATACCTCACAGTAAACCTTGCAGATTTTTTTTTTCATAAAAAAACATCTGAATAAGTAATAATGAACATTTTCACTAAATACCTTTTTCTTTCTTTTTTCCCCAGATTGTTAGAATTGTGTGGGGAGTGGAAAAAAAATTCTGATATCAAAATCAGGAAATGCTAAAGCACTATTTTACATATAATGATGAATTTAATAAAAACAGACAAAATAAAACAAAAGTTCAAACAAGAAAAAAAGCAACAACTTTATTTCAGTTCAGTCTCTATCGTCATTATATCACGTAATAATGAGTTAATAAAGTTTAGTCTAAAAAAAAGGAACCTTTAAAAGAAAAAAAAAAACATATGACCAAAGAAAGACATTTAAATACACTATAAATATTAATAACTTGTTTTATTTAATTTTCATATCCTTCCATCTTTTATTTTACTTTGTGTTTTTAAAGTTCAATTGTGTAGCTGGTTGCATTTGTTCTATATACTCTGCTTTAACATATTTTAGACCTGCATTTTTATTTTAAACAGATCACTTTTGAGAATGTATTTCTGAGAAATTAACTTGTTCTATAGAGGTAAAACATATCATATTGTAATCCAAATTTATTTGGATAAAATTAAGATGACAATAAAACACTATTTAACAACTTCAGTGCAGTTCTTTGCAGTAGAAATGATCCTTCTCAAACATTCTTTTGTTCAGTCACATATATCTTTGGTCATCCTATAAAGAGAGAGGAAGATTTTTTTTTATTATTATGGCTTGCATTTGTTCGTCCGTTTATGCTGAGACCCCTATACAATCAGCTTGACAATTGGTCTCAGAATTCATACATTATGACTGATAAATGGCATCTAAAGTGGAACATTTTTTTTTTTTTTTCAAAAAATATAAGTAGAGCTGTTCTATTATAGGCTATGAAGTTTGTTGGAGAAAATGCTATTGCAGAAAACCATTTGGAGAA